AGTGAAAAAGTTGGCTGAAAACTCAACATTCAGAAAACTAAGATCATGGCACCCGGTCCCATCACTTCATGGCAAATAGATGGGGAAACAATGGTAACAGTGACAGACTCTATTTTCTGGGCTCCAAAATCGCTGTGGATAGTGACTGCGGCCATGAAACTAAAAGACGCTTGCTCCTTGGAAAGAAAGCAATGACAGACCTTGACAGTGTATTAAAAAAGTAGAGACATCACTTTTCTGACAAAGGTCCGTATAGTCAAAGCTATGGTTTTTCCTATAATCATGTATGGATGTGAGAGCTGGACAATAAAAAAGGCTGAGCACCGACGAATTGATACCTTTGATCTGTGGTGTTGGAGAAGACTCTTGAGAGGCCCTTGAACAGCAAGGAGATCAAACCAGTCATTTCTAAAGGAACTCAACCCTAAATATTCATTGGAAGGACTAAGGCTGCAACTGAAGCTGCAATACTCTGGCCACCTGATGCAAGAGCTGATTCATAGATTCATTGAAAGGACCCTGATGCTGGGAAAGATTGAAGGCAGGAGGAGAAGGCAATGACAGAGGATGAGATGCTTCAATGGCATGACTGATTAAATGGATATAAGTTTGAGCAAACTCCAGGAGATGGTGAAGGACAGGAAAGTCTGGTGGGCTGCAGTCCACGGGTTGGCAAAGAGTTGTGCCTGACTGAGCTACCGTACAACAACAAGTCGCTAAGTCATGTCCGACTCTCTTTTGACCCCATGGACTGTAGCCCCCCAGGCTTTTCTGTCCATGAGCTCTCCCAGCAAGAATACTGAAGTAGGTTGCCATTTTCTTCTCCAGGGGAATCTTCCTGACCCAGGGATTGAACGCACATCTCCTGAATCATCAGGCAGATTCTTTACCACTGAGCCACCAGGGAAGGATAATTGTTTAGCCATAATTCTTCTAGATTAATTTTTTCATTTATCTCTTTAATCTAGATGGAATTTATTTTGGCATGTATCAAAAGATTGAGTTTGTTGATTGCCTTTATCCCATTTAGCAAGCTTGTTAAATGTCATTCATTGATTTGTGCTCCATTTTCGAGGCAAAGAGATGCAGTTGCATAAATATTGTTCCAACAGGTCATGCCCCTTATCTTGTTCTCCTCTAACAAATGTCTATTGAAAATATACATGGTTTTAATATGTCCACGTTGTTTTTCACTCTCTCCCCAGCACCTGGAAGACAGTCTGACACACAGTAGTACTCTTAATATTTTGAATTATAAATGACCTGAGAATGTCCAAATCCAGGGTCTTCAAGAGCCTTTAAATGATCTCCTTCTTCCACACTTTCTTATCTGCAACCAGAGTGGTCTTTTAAAATTATCACCATGTCACACTCTGGCTTATTATCCTCAGCAGCTTCTCATCTCTTTCATATCAACCCCCGGCTCTTTACTGTAGATCTGACCTCGTCTCTCACCATCTCCCATGACTCTCTCCCTCATGGTGCTGTAGCCACACTGGGCTGCCTATCTGTTCTAGACCACTCTAAGCATTCTCCATCCCCCCACCCAGGCCTTTTCAGTGACAGTTTTCACTGCTTAACTAAGTGCTTCCCTGACTAGTTACTCATCACTCAGATCCAAGCTCAGATGTCACCCCCTCAGATATGCTTCCTGACCTTCTTGCAAAATATTGAGCCCTATGTCACCCTATCTGTGCAGTCACTCTCTCACCGTGCCCTGTCTCATTATCCAGTTGGCACTCACTCCTTGCTATCTAATCGATTAATTTCTTTACTCATTTCTTGCCTATCTTCTCCACTAGAACATGAGCTCCATGAAGGCATGAGTTTTGTCTACCTTGTATCCCCAGTACTTAGTAAAATTCCTAGGAGCCACTCCACAAATAGTTGTAGAATGCATGGTTGAATGAGTTATGAGTTTCCTAGATGGAAGAATAATTTAGAATAATAAATAATGAGTTGAAACGTACTGAGCAATTTCTACCTCCCAGTCACTGAACTAAGCCTTTTATAAACAGTGTCCTATTTCATTCTCACAGCAACCCTATAATGCGGATACTATTATAATGATCACTTTACAGACTAGAAAAACTGTAGCACATAGAGGGGAAGTTACTGTTTTGCCCAAGGAATTGAGATGAAAGCTCAGGACCTCCTGACTTCCTGCAGTTGTATGATGCTGTCTTGCACAAGGATGGTGAAAGCAGGATGACAGCTCATGCCTGTCTATGCAGCGGTGTTCAGGACTGCACCTGATGGAAAGGAGCCTTTACAGAGGTGCTCCACAGACACTGCTCTCTGCATTTCATTAAGTGCCTTGCTGGGCTTCCCTGGTGGCCCAGACAGTCAAGAATCTGCCTGCAATGCAGGGGACTCAGATTCTGTCTCTGGGTCAGGAAGATCCCCTGGAGAAGGGAATGGCTACCCGCTCCAGTATTCTTGCCTGGAGAATCCCGTGGACAGAGGAGCCTGATGGGCTNCCTTGACCAATGATTGAACCCATGTCCCCTGCATTGGCAGGCAGATTCTTATCCACTGTGCCACCAGGGAGGCCCTCAAAATAATCCTTTTTCTGTCAGTCTGTTGGCTTTGGTCATCTGAATGGAAAGGTCAATCTTACGGTTCTTGTGATGAAATACCTGCATCTCCCCATCTCAAATCTATTCAAATTTTCATGTGTCCTGACCTTATAATTCCACCATTAATTTGTTATTCTTAAAATTAAGACATTTTCTCTATAGGAATCTCCAGTTGAAATAAGCACTCCCAGCCTGGCATCCTCTCAAAGTAGGTTCTTATTATTCTTTCAGACTCTAAAATGAAAGATTTACTTGGGCACAGGGTAGATGCTTGCTTGGAGGAGAAGATGGGGTGGCATATATGGAGCAATCAGGACTTAACCTCAAAGAACTTCAGGGACTAAGGAGGAGAGGCTTCAAAAAGAGGGCTACAAACACTATGTTGCCCCATTGCAGAACCACCTGCTATTTATTTAGCTCTTGCTATATCCTCAACCACCCTTCTGAGTTACTTCCTGCTGAGTTAGGTGATCATATTATTTATTTTTCCAAATGCGGACACTTTTGAGAGTAACGGGAGCATTCTTTGGAAGTATTCTAAATGGCAGGAATAAATTGGGACACTGCAGGCAAACAGGAACGTATGATCACCATATTTTGGAAGGCTCCCTCTACTTCTGTCCATCCCCCACAAACACTGCTTCCTCTGTAGCCTTCTCAAATGAAAGCTGACTTTTCTTTTATGTACAGCATTGTCACACACCAGTTGGTAAGACTGGTGTCCTCCATGCCACTTCTAAACCATTTCTCCTCCTTCTGCCTTTAGAAACTCCAAATTCTTTAGATTCCATGCCTTTGGACTTTAGACCACCAGCTCCTGCCTCCCATGGCTGTTCTGATCACTTCCCTTTCACTTTCTGAGGATGCAGGCATGCCCTCACCCCTATTCTGTCTTCATTTACAGAGCTATCAATATCCAAAACCCTCATCTCTCCTCCAGTAATGGTGTGTCCATACCCTCTCAGCCACCTGCTCTTATGGCCATACTCTAGAGATGGCAGCCCCTCTGAAAGCCTGGTTTCACCTTCCTGTTCTCTCGGTTCCCATCTCTAGTAGCCACATGGCTACAACCCCTTACCCTTTTTGTGGTTCCAGTCTCCTGATCTCATTTCTTAATCTCTTCAGTGCCCTCCTTTGTTAAGTTGGATTCCATGTCCATCGCTCTGATGATGATTCCCTTAACTCCTCCATCCCTTCCACCTTCTATCTCCTCTACATCCTGTAGCATTTCCCAGGCAAAATCTCAATTCCATTTGTACCCACTTAACTTTCCTACTGTTTCCCGGCCAATCCTGGAGAAAAAGAACATCACCCTGAGGCATGACTTCTTCATGGAGTCACAAACCAAACCTCCTGTGGGCTCTTAGAAATGTTCTGACATTTATAGAAATTTCACTTAATGTGTTCATTCTCTTAATCTTGAAGTCTATTTCTCCTCAACCTCATTCCTACTTTCAGTCTGAGCTGAGTATTCTAAAATATCATTAAGAAAATAGAAGTTTTCAGAGAGGGACCCCTCATTTTCTATCACCACATCCGCAGATCTACTTGGAGCTCTGCCTGTCCTCTTTTTCTCATGCTAGTTATATCTCAGGAGGTGTTTGTCTTCCTCTCGAGGACCAGCACATCCTCTTGTGTTCTTGGAACAAAGAGTAGCATCTTTCATCTGACCTATAAGATGTCATGAGTCTGATCTGGCCCATTGCTAATTCTCCATCATTTTCTCTATTTCCCATCCCTCACATCCAGTCCCCATTCTTTTATGCTCCCTCACAAAGAATCTTCAGATCCTTTCCAGAGGTGGTGGTAGGGATGAGGGAAGCACATCCAGTCCCCATTCTTTTTATGCTCCCTCACAAGGAATCTTCAGGTCCTTTTCAGAGATGGGGGTAGGGATGAGGGAAGTTATTGTAGGTGACAAGTCTGGTGAGTTGGGCAAAGACCACACAGCAAGCACTTGTAAGCATATTAAGGATTTGGTATTCTAAGAGCAACGGGAAGCCACATTCGCTTGGTGAAAGTAGAACCTGCTTTTAGGAGAACAAAGGTGTGAAGAGGATTAGGAGGAGATAAAGAGAGGACACTGTAATAACAGTGACCTAGAGGAGAGATGAAAGCTACCTGGCCACAGCAGTAGCAGTGCAGACAGAAAGGTGTGAATTCAAGAGCTGTTCAGAAAACAATGGTTGCAAAGAAAAATATATGTTCTGAGATTTTTCATCACCTCCTTCAAAGAGAAGCAAGAACTGAGTTCATTTTTTCATTTGTTCACAATATTGACTGAGGTCTCATGATGTACCAGTACTTGGTGGTACTCAGTGATAAGGGAAGAAAAGTCCTTTGTGACATTCCATCCACTGAGATAGGGGCACATTAATCACATAACCATAAAATAAATATAAATGGTAAATAAGTGATACAGGAAAAGCACCAAGTATTATGAGAATTTATGAAAGCAGGGCTGTGACCTAGTCTGGGGGAGAGTCAGGGAAATCTTCCTTTGACGTCATTCTGAAAGACGAATCTGAGTTAGGGACAATTCTGATAGAGGAGGGAGCATGGGAGTAAGAAAGTGGAAAGAAGGCTAGCCCTTTGAGTGAATAGACCAGTGTGGCTGAAGAAAGCAAGGGAAGAATGATGAGCGTGGAGAAGGGGGCAGGATGCAAAGTATAATATATATTTTATAGATGGCATAAATGATCTTAGTTTGATTCTTGGGATAATTGAGGACAGCTATATTTTGGGGAGAAGGGACATAGACTAGTTTAAATGTTAATGATGTGAAATCCACTCTCATCTAAGAATTCTAAGAATCACGTATTTGGAATTCTGGAATCCACCCTGGTTTGGGACTCTGCTGACTCCTCAGCCCTCTGACTCCAGTGCCCTGGACAATCCAGCTTGCACATTTAGCTCATGACCTTTCTTAGCATTTCAAACACTTTCCCAAGGCTGCTGTAAAAACAAGAGAGAATTTTCTATTGTTTCCAGCCAGGGTGGGGACCCCAACTGCCAACCCGTTTCTGGAGACTGTTAAAATGTCTCATTTATTTCCTAGAAACATCTATCCAGTGAAGAGATTCCAAATTACTGGGATCAGGGGCCGGTTAAGCAGCTTGTTGGGAAGAACTTCAACGTGGTGGTGTTTGACAAGGAAAGGGACGTGTTTGTGATGTTCTGTGAGTATCTCTGCAGAAGCCACGAGGCACTGGCTCCAACGTTACTTTTTTCAAATGTAGGTTCCTGAATTCTTGGGTACTCAAATCTCCAAATCCTATCAAAGCATCATGCCAAGAATGGTCTTCAGACATCCATAGTTTGGATCAAGATGCTATCAGCTACAAAGCAATGCTCCCCCCAGATCAAATTCATGAAGTGTGTGGAATACCTTTCACATAATCAAAGCCTGTGGCTATTTGTAACAACAGTAATACTGATGGCTGACGCTCACTGAATGCTGATCCACCAGGCCTGCGCCGTCAGTCTCTATGCTATCTCACTCAATCCTCACACCTTACTTTTGAAAGTAGCTACTTTATTACTCTCACCTTACAGGTGAGTAAACAGAGTCCCAGGGAAGTTAAACTTTACTAAAGTTATGCAGCTAGTGGGTGAACTTAAGTAAGTAAGGGATTGAAACCTAGTCAGCCTGAATCCAGTGGCTACATGGGTAACTACTGTACCAGTATAAGTTAAGTAACATCAAATAGCCGATATTTAACATACCTGAGTTGGAGCAACCAAAATGAAGACTCAGGTCATGCATGTAAAAGACCTGGAACAGTGTCTGGCATCTTGTAAGCACATGATAAAAGGCAGGTACTATTGCCATTATTTTCCCTGTTACAATTATTTCCATAATCATATTATTGATTATTTTCATAATAATCATAATCATAATATTGATTATTTTCATAATCAAGAGGACTGTTGCTCTTCCTTCATTGTTTCTGATTTGCATGTGGAAGCCAAAGCCAAGGGATCTTCTCTTTTATCCTGAGACACAGAGAAGGGTGGTAATGCAGTGACTTCGGATCCCTCTTTTACTTAACAGGAGGAGTTAATATTTATTGAGCACTGATGAGTTTGCTGTTTATACACCTGCTGTCATTCCTCCTCTAACCAAGCCTCTTAGGAAGGTACAGTGGATTTCCCCATGATACAGATCAGAGAACCTAGCCTCAGAGAAATGAATTACTTTACCCCAGATCACATAGCAAGTAAGCTGCAAGACAAGAAGTTCAAATCCAGGTCTGATGCCATCATTTCCTAGAGGGTGAAACAAGGATTAGTTTACATTATGCAGGCCTTTAAAACTCTCATTGAAATGGACATTCACCCACAGAGCCAGGTGTTTATAGTCTGCTGGAAGTCTTCACTTCCTGGGTGCACTCTCCTCCATGGGACCGAAAGGGGTGTGATACAGTGGTCACAAGTCCAAGCAGCCTGTCTGCGAATCCCACTTCCTCTGCTTAAATCACTAAGTGACCTTGAGCTGTAAGCTTAACTGCTGTTGGAAAACTCTTGTGCTCTCTCTCACATACACAAATACACATACTTTTTGGCAGAACACAAATATTTTTTTTCTTGGTTTGGTTTTCCTCTTCAGCTGGACGGAAGGAAATGTTAAAGGGAAATTAGAGAATGGAAGAAAATGTCCCAACATGTTAATGTCTGAGTGGAAGGGGACTAGGTTATTATTTTTTTCCTAGTTTATTTAGTGATGATCAGATACTATAGCTGAAATGTAAGATAACCTAAGTGAAGTAAGTGAAAGTGAAAGTTGCTCAGTTGTGTCTGACTCTTTGTGACTCCAGGGACTATATTCTTTGTGACCCCATTCTCCAGGCCAGCATACTGGAGTGGGTAGCCATTCCCTTCTCCAGGGGATCTTCCCAACCCAGGGATCGAACCCTGGTCTCCCACATTGCAGGTGGATTCTTTACCAGCTGAGCCACAAGAGAAGCCCAAGAATACTGGCATGGGTAGCCTATCCCTTCTCCAGGGGATCTTCCCAACCCAGGAATCAAATCAGGGTCTTCCGCATTGCAGGCAGTTTCTTTACCAACTGAGGTAACGGGGAAGCTCAAGATAACCTAACATACTTTAAAAGAGATAGGGAGTGCAATTTGCATGGCAGCAGACCATTAGTGGAGCACAGTGATGGTATCTATGGGGGAGTGTGGCTTTCAGGGTCTTTATGAGTGTGAGCTTCAGTGATGGCCCTTCTTTTCCAGATGCACCCTGGTCCCAGAAGTGCATGGTGCTATTCCCAGTGTTGGAAGAGTTGGGCAGAAAGTATCAAAACCACTCCACAGTCACCATCGCCAAGATCGACATCACGGCAAATGATATTCAGCTGACGTACCAGGACCGGTACCCCTTCTTCCAACTCTTCCCCACTGACTCTCAAAAAGTGAGGGGCTCTTGGGATTCACATAACTGGAAATGTTATATTATTGTCAAGGACTCAGTGTCTCTCAGTCTCCATCTCTACCTTTTACCAAATCAACTTCATTCTCAGCTCCAATTTCTATTAACTTTTCATATTCAAGTTAGAGAATAATTTCCACTAGCTTTCAGAAAATTCCCAACTCAGTCTGATTGGGTCCTCCTAACCCAATCACTGGGGCAAAGAGGATGTGGGTGTTTTGATGGTCAGGCCTAGGTCAAATGGTTCCCTCTGGTATTAGAGCTGAGCTTGACTCAGACTATATGGAATAAGGTAGGAGGAGTCATCATGTGAATATTGGGGGTGGGGTGGTACCAGAAGAAGGTAGACTGCATGATGGAAGCAATCAAGTACTTTACACTTTGGTTTTAGAGCCATTGAATATCACCAGTGTTCATGGAACACATACTTTATGCTACTTTGGTATGTGGGGAAGAATGTCAAAGAATCACAAGCCAAGGTCCCTGGTCCCAAGAAGAGTATGATTAAGTGTTGGGTAAAGTCATGGAATGTGAAGTCAAGTGGGCCTTAGGAAGTATCACTGTGAACAAAGCTAGTGGCGGTGATGGAATTCCAGTTGAGCTATTTCAAATCCTAAAAGATGATGCTGGGAAAGTGCTGCACTCAACATGTCAGCAAATTTGGAAAACTCAGCAGTGGCCACAGGACTGGAAAAGGTCAGTTTTCATTCCAATCCCTAAGAAAGACAATCCCAAAGAATGCTCAGACTACCACACAATTGCACTCATCTCACACGCTAGTAAAGTAATGCTCAAAATGCTCCAAGTCAGGCTTCAGCAATATGTGAACCATGAACTTCCAGATGTTCAAGCTGGTTTTAGAAAAGGCAGAGGAACCAGAGATCAAATTGCCAACATTCGCTGGATCATCGTAAAAGCAAAAGAGTTACAGAAAAACGTCTATTTCTGCTTTATTGACTATGCCAAAACCTTTGACTCTGTGGATCACAATAAACTGTGGAAAATTCTTAAAGAGATGGGAATACCAGACCACCTGACTTGCCTCTTGAGAAACCTGTATGCAGGTCAGGAAGCAACAGTTAGAACTGGACATGGAACAACAGA